GAGCCTCTCGACTTTCTTTCTTTCTCTTTTTCTCATGGTAATCCAAACGGTACCCATAGCGCTTTCGGTGTAACTCAATATACTCATTTTGTGGCTGTAAAGATAGAAGATGTTTTCCTTAATTTTAAAAAGTATTAATGAAGGGATTCTAACATACTTTCTTTTATATATGCCATAATATACAGAATATTCTATCAAACAAATGTTCACTTGCTTAAGTAATTCTAACATTACTAGGTTTTTCCCCCCATGATTTAAGCTTTGATCCTGAAAGTTGCGGAGCATGAGTTAATTATCTATAATAATCTTAATGAAAGTAACTGTCCACTTAAGAATACTAGTTTAAAAATGAGATGTTTTTCTATAAATGAATGGAAGTGCAAAAGATTGCCCCAAATCCACTAAGCCACAAATGGGAGGACATGATAACAGAATTCCTTCCCCTACCCCTTAGCCTTGAACACAAAGTAACAGGTCTTTTAAATGAGTTAATCCACATAAAATGAAAGGCGTCCTTCGTTAAGTGTAGTTTTGAGTTTTACCAATCTACAGAATTGTGTAATAAAGATACAGACTATTTTCATCACCCCAAAAAGCGGCCTTTCTCAATTTCCAATCTGATTTCTGTCACTGTATCTGCTCACTGCTGACAAAGTCAATTCCTACTCATCATGACCCTAGATTTGAGGCTTTAAATTTTTACAGGGGCTGTCTGCCCTTCTCTCCTGTGGCATGGCTAGTGGGTTCAAACTGATCTCTTGCTTAACAGCACTATACCACCTTTCCAAAATGAAATTCAAATTGATCAAAAGTGTGTAACCTTTGGAGTTTGGTTTCTTACACTAGAAGGCAGCTTTGAGATTCAGTGTTACACGCTGTTGTTACATGCAGAGTAATTCATTCTTTTATTGCTTAGTATTTCATAAAGAATAAAACGGCAACAAATCTTTGCATTCAGTCTTTTGTGTGGATGTGGATGTATGTTTACTGCTTAAGTGTGTATATTTTGCTTTCCGATCAGAAATGTATAGGTATCCCCCCTCCCATCTAAATGCCTGACTGGTTTTAAACAAAAATCTGCAGTCCATTTATACTTTAAAATGGAAAAAAAGAAAGCTTAATTGGCTAAAGGCATCCCAAGGAGAGAAAAGCTGAAAGACACTGAACAGGTACCAGGCGTGGCATTTTCCTATTAACAGCACATAATATTTATATGTGACGTGATATAAAACAAAGGATACGGCAAGTGGATTGGGATATAAATTCTGCTCCACATTTTAGTCGTTATCTGGCCTTTGGCAAGGCAAGTCATCACTAAAAAAAAGGGGTCTACCACACAGGATTGTCATAAGGTTTGCACATATTTTCACTGGACTCAGCCAAAGACAGGGCATGTGGCGAAGCCCAGAATTTCATAGTAAAACCAAAGCTCCAAAGTCTGTCTTCTGTCTAGTATTACACGCTATCTCCCCAAAAGTTAAGGGTTAAGTTTCTGTTTGCATTTGAAGGAATCTACCCTTTTCCCGCAGACTCCACATCCGCCAGCCACGCCACACTCCCAGCCCTCACGTGCCTAGAATCCCCAGGTTCACCCACTCAAGCGCCCTACGTCTCAAAGTCCCGAGGCAATTTCCTCACCATGGTGACGGCAGCAAAAGCCCCAGACGCAGTGTCCGGGGCGCAAAGAAGATCTCAACTTTCGGGTCTCGGAGACCCACGAGCCGCCTCAACCCACGACCAAGTCTGGAAAGGGTAACTTCCTAAAACTGCCGATTAAAGCTAAGCGCGACACACTCCTTCCGAGTCTCCCGTTCCGTCTTTAAGCGAGAGGAGCGGAAGTTGCCGGCAGGCGGCTTTAGGCGTGTGCACCACCGGAAGTAGTGAAACACGTTGATTAGAGGAGGGGGCGGGGAAAACAACCCGCATCAACCCAGGCGAGCTCGTAGCTCCCTAGGGTCCTGCTGTAGATGGAGAGGACTTTAGCCCAAGTAGCAAAGGGAAGTATGAGACACTTGTAAATTTTGGTGCGGCCCAAGTCTCCTTCTTTCAACAGCCTGGCTGGGAAAAGGCGAGCTAGTGCCAGGTGGGTATCTGGACGCGCCGCGCGACTCCGGCATGCTTCCCGACTCCCGCATGTGTCCCGCGCTGGACGCTGCTTGCCTTCAAGGCTGCGACAGAACGCTGCCAACCTTGGAGGAGGAGGACACCGGGGACGCCGGCGCCTGATCCTTCGTATCATCCCAAACTACGCATGATTCTCTCCCTCAGTGAGGATGAACTGATTTCCCTGCTTGTCACTTTGTCCTCAGGCATGCGCAGTTGAAAAGGACGCAGAAGAATTAAAATCTGTTGGACAGGAATTAAACTACTGGCCCTTAGCAAGTGTTAGTAACGAAAACAACTTTGTTTTTCTGCAAGTTGAGAACTGATTTCGGAAAACTTTGAGGGTTGGTGCACTGGACAGCGTAATTGAATAAAGCGAACCTCTAAGTCTAGGAAGTAGTTTACTCAGTATTATGCTCTCCAGTTCCTCTCAAGTTAGGTAGTAATTTACAAAATCACTGCTCCTGCGCGCTGCATAGTATTCCATTGTGTGAATGTACCACAAAATTCTCAATCCATTTGATTGTGATTGGATATTTGGGCTGTTTCTGTATTTTTGTGATGGTGAATAATGCTGCTGTGAACACTGGTGTTCAAGTTTCCGTTTGAGCCTGAGTTCTCATTTTCTTGGAGTATGTTCCAAGCAATGAAATAGCTGGGTCATATGGAATTTCTGTGTTCAGCTTTTTGAGGAAGCGCCAAACTACCTTCCAGAATGGTTGTACCATTTTAAGTCCCACCAATAATGTAAGAGTTCCTGTCTCACCAAATAATGTATAAAACCGTTATTGTAGAATGAGTATGAGGATCCATGCGGGGCGGGGGGGGGGGGAAATAAGAAGGGTGAGGATGGGTTGGGGAGTAGGGTGTTAATCATAGGGTTGCACAATTCGATGGGTGGGTGGGTTAAAGGAAATAGGCAGGATCTTTTGTGAAAATAATGTATTCAAACTTTGTAAATCAATAAAATTTAAAAAAAGAGTAACAAGGACGGTAAAAGGAAGTAATTCACTATAAAAAGTCCATCACCCTAGGAAAACGTGTTAGTTTTACTTTGACGGTAAAGTCTCAGAAGTTTAATTCATAAACTAGCATTTGATTCAGCTGTTTGAAACAAAATCGTCTTTCTGAAAGCAAAATTATCTGTCTAAGTGCTAGAGCATGCATTTGAGACTATTTAAAGGCCTCACATGTGTCAAGCCAATGTTATCTAATATCTTGGGCTCCCAGCTAACAGGTTGGCAGTTCAAGTTCTCCAGGGGCTCTACAATAGAAAGATGTACCTTCTTCAGAAAAGATGTTCTGCTCCGGAACCCTGGCTGTGAACCTGAGTCCACTAGATGGCAGTGCGGGCTTTTGTTGTTGAGCTTGTCTGTAGGAAATGCATCATGGTTTGCTTACTCAGGTTGTGAATTTGTAATCATTTGACTAAAATGAAGACAGTAAAGGGCAGTGACTGTCTTTTGCTCTCTGCTTGAACACCATCACTTAGAAAGCTATCACTGGCCTTCCGTAAATTCTTGAGCAATCCTAACACCAGTCCAATGATGTGATTATATAAAAAAACTGGGGCTCATGAGATTTGAAGTGATTTACCCAGGTTCCCAGAAGATTTAGTACTTCCAGCAAGTCTTCTGGCACTATATAGCCTAATCTAGATACTACAAATGTCTACTTGACATCTTTATTGTAATCAATGGTGTATGTAGTGTTTTTTTAAAAAAAAGTTTGTTCAGGTATAATATGCCAAAAATGGCATATATGGTAGATAGGTTTCAGTGAGTTTTCAAAAGCAGGACACACCAATGTAAATAGCATGTAGATCTAGAACTTACATAAAATGCAGCCTAGGACTTTTTCAGTTATTGTTATCTCCCACAGTGACCAATATCTTGCTTTATGTTAAGTAGATTAGTTTTGTCAGTTTTATACTTTATGTAATGGGAGTAATACAGTATACATTTTGGTGTTACTTTATTTTACTTAACACTGTAAGGTTTATGATTTTTTTTTTTTAACCTCCAGGTATGCATCTTTTAATTTATGAGAATTTTAAAAGGTTGGTTTAAGTTGTGAACATCTCAATATTTGCAAAGCCACTAAGAACATTTTAATCTTTTGACTTAGGAAAGGAAAAAAAAAATTAAAGTCTGAAATACAGGAGCCAAAGTATTTGTGACTCTGTTATTTATTTCTCTGTGTTTTCCCTCCCTCCTTTCTCCTGCCTCTTATAACCACTCTGGTTTGTGTTCATTTGTTTTTCTTACATAAGAGAGGTCATAAAAAAGTTGACCTAGTGATCAACTTGCTTATTTTTACTTTCAAGAAGTAATATGTGTTTTTTAAAATTAATGTATTTTAAATATATATTGCACATATCTGCCTTAGAAACATTTTATTGATATAAATGTCATAAACATAGTTTTATAATATTATGTTTGTTTTCTTAGAAAACAGCTGTTGACAGAATCAAAATGCTGGTCAACTGGAGAATATTTGCAGTGAGCCATCAGAAAATATCCAGTTTACACATTAATGTAAGCCTTCTCTTTTTATTAATTAAACGTACTTCAACAACTTGTTACCTTACTTCTAAAAGAGCATACTATATAGCATTAGCTTTTGATTCTAAACATGTTAGTTCTCACTTATATTAACGCCAAGTATGAGAAAAATGAAACAGTGTCCATTTCTGCTTCATTGTTATGCTTAGTCCCATTGTTGCAACCACTGTGTCAATTCATCTCCCTAGCTGTTTGTCCTGTGGATTCAAAGATTTGCTAGAAGGGTTCAAAATTGGGAAGGGTGTATGCCAGGGATGTGTCCTGTCTCCATACCTTTTCAATCTATATGCAGAACAGATTATCCAGAAGGTTGGTCTCTGAGGAGAAATGTGGCATCAGGATTGGAGGAAGACTTTAGTTTGGTTGGCTCTACAATCAACACTCTTGGTACCAGCAGCTAGGAAATTAAAAGATGAATTGTATTCAGAAAGTCTGCTGTTAGAGACCTCTACAGAGTACTGAAGAGCAACGATGGCAGTCTGGAGACTAAGGTGTGCCTGATACAGGCTATAGTCTTTACAGTTAATTGCTATGCAGCAGAAAACCAGACAGTGACTAGGGATGACAGGAGGAGAATTAATGTCTTTGAGCTGTGGTACTGAAGAAGAGTATTGAATATACCATGGACTGCTAGGAGAACAAACAGGTTCATCTTAAAGAGGTAAGACCAGGTGGCTCCTTGGAGGCAAGGATTCTGAAGCTTTGACATACTTTGGACATGTTGCAAGGAGTGACCAGTCCTTGGAAAGAGACGTCATGCTTGGGCGAGTAGAGGGACAGTGCAAGAGAGGAAGATCCTCGATGAGATGGATTGATTCAGTGACTGGGGTAGTGGGGGTTGATGTGTCAATGACAAGATTGGCACAGGATAGAGCAGAGTTTAGGGCTGTTGTCTCTAGGGTCACTATGAGTCAAAGGTGACTCAACAGCACATAACACCAACCTCCAAGACTCTTAGCTATTAATAGAGAGTATAGACTTATATAGCTGGTTAAGCATTTGGGAGCATGCTGATCCAAAGCTTCTCATAAATAGTCTGTTGTTATTCTTGTTGTGTACCATAGAGTTGGAACTGACCCATAGCTAACCCTCCAGTGGGTTTTCAGAGGCCATTAATTGCACAAGAGGAGATTAATCTTAGCAAGACAAATAATAAAATCAACCACCAAGTTCTAACCTAGACTACATTTGTGGAAAAGCATTTAAAGGCTTCCTTACTTTCAGCAAGCAAGGTTTTGTCATCTGTATAATGCAGATTGTTGATGAATCTTCCTCTTGTCTCCATCTCCTCTTTAAATATTATTTTTTAGTGGTCAAACCCCTTGTTGAGAGGATCTCTAAATTTAGGTTTCCCAGACTTGCTTTAATCTTCTTCAGCTTCACCATCAGTTTGCCTTTGAACAATTGATAGTCTGTTTCACAGTGAACCCCTGGCCTTTTGCTGACTGATGATGCCAAGTTTCTCCACAAATATAGTCTATTTGATTCATGTGTGTTTCATGTGAAAAGGTTATGTGTACAGTCACCATTTATGTTGTTGAACTGTTAGTGAATAGGTTGTTGATTGCATAATTCTATCATGTTATCCTGAGCATCAATTCACTAAAGCTAAAATTCAGTGGATGATTTTATAATTTATCCTGCAAAGATATATGCAAAACCTATACTTTGCCCAGGAAGCAGTACTCAGAACAGAACAAGGAAACACTGCATGGTTCAAAATTAGGACAGGAGTGTGTCAGGGATGTGTCCTGTCTCCATACCTTTTCAATCTATATGCAAAACAGATCATTCAGGAAACAGGGCTTTATGAGGAGGCATGTGGCAAAAAGATTGGAGGAAGACTCATCAACAATCTGTGTTATACAGATGACACAACCTTTCTTTCTGAAACTGAGGAGGACCTGAAACACTTGCTGCAGAAGGTTAAAGACTGCAGCCTTCATTGTGGATTGAAGCTCAACATCAAGAAGACAAAGATTCTTACCACTGGACTGATTGGCAGCATCATGATAGATGAAGAAGAGATTGAGGTTATTAACAGTTAGAGTTTGCTTGTTTCCACAATCAACACTCTTGGCTCCAGCAGCTAGGAAATCAAAAGGCGAATTGCACTGGGGAAACCTGCTGTCTGGGACATCTCCAGAGTATTGTAAAGCAACAATGTCAGTTTAGAGATTAAAATGCCTAATCCAGGCCATTGTCTTCGTCATTACTTGCTGTGCGTCAGAGAGCTGGACAATGACTAAGGATGATAGAAGAATCAATGTCTTTGAGTTGTGGTGCTAGAGAAGAGTGTTGAACATGGACCACCAAGAAAACAAATAGGTCTGTCTTGAAGAGGATGAAACCCAAGTTTCTCCTTGGAGGCTAGGATTTTGAAGCTCTGTCTCACATACTTTGGTCACGTGGCCAGGAGAGACCAGTCCTTGGAGAAGGACATCATGCTTGGGAGGATGGAGGGACATTGCAGGAGAAGACAACCCTGGATGAGATGGATTGATACAGTAACTGGGGCAGTGGGGGTTGGTGTGTCCGAATCAGTGAGACTGGCTCAGGACAGGGCAGGCTTCAGAGCTGCTAGTGTTGCTGTGGTTTGCCAGCAACTCGATGGCGCATAACAACAATAACAAGATTAACAACAAACTGTTTATGAGTAGCCTCAGGTCAGTGTGCTCCTAAATGCTTGACCAGTTGTGCAAGTCCATACTTTGTATTAACAGCTCCATCTTTGGCTCAGTTCCCCAATTCCTATATGTCCTGTGGGCTCAAAGATTTGCTAGAAAGTCCTCCAGGGACTCAGAGCTCTCATGAAACCAACTCATGTGACTGTAGGTATGCTGGCCAGATTTTTTGTAGAAACTGGTGAGCAACAGGCCAGGTTGGATGCAGCAGGACACTTATACACAGTCACACTGCTGCTCCTGTGTTGATACTTTCACACACCTTCTAGTGTGGAATGTGCTTTCTTTCTATTGCTACTTCCTTCAACTGTTGATGATCAGTAAGACCATGCTCATTTGCAAGACTGTGTCTGCAGTCAAGGTAGCTGGAGATCAGAGAGGCTAACTAACAGCTTAAAAAAAGAAAAAACCCACCTTTTAGGCTGACAGCACAGTGGCCCAATGTGTAAGGTATTGGGCTGCTAACAAGAGGTAGGTGATGCTGAATCCATCTGCCTCTCTTAGTGAGAAAAATGGGCAGTCTCCCTCCATAAAGATTTACAGCATCCCAACCCCCAATAGAGGCCAACCATAAGTGCATCCTACATGATAGCAGTGGGTTTGGGGTTTTTTGTTTTGTGGGTTTTTTTTTTGATTCATCTTCATTTCAGGCTTTTGAGTTCTTATTGCCAATTATTTTCCATGTGTCTTGATTTCAGGTTTATAAATTTTAGACTTCAGAAACTGGTTTAAAAAATTCATTTTCTTCATCTTTAGTGCTAATGGTTGGTGGGCAGATTTGCAAAATAATTACATCATCTGGTCTTTTATGCATGTGTCTTTTATGATCCTCTCACTGGCAACATTGTACTTCAGGACAGATCTTAAAACATTCTTTTAAACAGTGAATGGGCTGCATTTCTCTTCAGTGTGTTCTTTATGTGGTAGACTAATTGCTCAAACTTAGTTTATTTTCATGTCATGTCATGACAAGAGTCCAGAATGAAGACTGCATAGTGGAGTGGACCTGGGGGGAGGGATTGTAAAACAATGGGGTAACTTTTACTTTTCCAAAAGAAGAGTGTACTGGGGGGAGGTGTGGGCAGGGAGAAAAGTGCAACAATGAATGAATGGAAATCTGTAAATTTTCTTTAAAATTAATTTTAAAAAAACAAAAAAAAACCCCTTAGTTTATTTTCAGCTTGCTTTTTTCATTATCTCTGGCTTTTTAAAAAAGATTCATAAAATAATCCTCTCACTCCTTTTCTCAAGTCAAGCTACTTTAAAAAAATTATATTTATTGACTAGAAAGTTAATAAATAATTGATTGGAAGAAAAAGATAAATAAAAAGATAGATGTTGGTTTTCTTGAGTATTGATTTGCTATTTATCTTGGGAAGTAGAAGGGACCATATATCTTCTAAGAATAATAGGAAGGAACGAATTGAGGCCAAAAAAGAATTAATGCCTTTGAATTGTGATGTGGGCGAATATGTTTAATATATCCCATGCACTGCCAAAAGAACTGAAACTAATCTCTATTGGAATAAGTGCAACTAGAATGCTCCTTAAAGGCAAGGAAGGTGAAGCTACATCTCATGCTTTGGGCACATTGTCAGGAGTTCTTTGGAAAAAGACATACTAGGAATATTAAAAGGTCAGCAAAAGAGAGGAAGACCTTCACGGAGACAGTCTGATACTGTGACCACAGTCATGGGTTTGAAAATGGTGGAGATTATAAGGATACCACAGCCATGGGTTTGAGCATGGTGGAGATTATAAGGATAGCACAAAATAGGCCTAAATTTCAATCTGTTGTTTGTTGGGCTTGTATGAGTCCTGGCTGACACAGAAGTAACAGCAATTAAAGCACATCTCTGAGTTCCTTGCTAAGAAGAATGTGCTTTATGCTTATGTATTCTTATAAAATACAGTTTCTTTTAACTGAATCTCATGATGTAACGGATCAACCTTGAAATAGCTGATAGAGTAAAACTCTTTTCTACTTTTTTTTGGACAGCAGCTAGACACTAACTTCTTGAGCAGTGTGATACTTTATTAGTGTATTGGGTTTTTTCCCCCACCTCTAAGCTCTGGTCTGAATATCCTCTGAAACATTTTTGCAGTATTTCTAAGTTGTCATGTATGTTAGAGATAATAGCTACTGTTGCAAATCTTGAAAGTAGCTGGTAATGTATACCCAGAGTAACTGCCTTATTTAAAATTTGTTGACCTAAAAAATAAGAATTTCATTCTCAAACTGTAGCCGTTAGACTTACCTGGGGGGATTTATTACAATGAAGCTTGCTGCCTTCCCACTGCTTTCTTTGGGCATATCTTCTCTCACCCCTTGGTTTATGGTTAGTTAGTCCAGTAAATTAGGCATTTGGTTTTCAAACATATTCCTCCTTGTGCAGATGCTGCTTAAGGAGGAACACTGCTTTAGAAACACCGTTAGTTCAAAATATTAAATCAGTATGAATTTTTTCTCTGTTTTTCTTATTATGTGATTGTGGGGTGCTGGTGCTAGTTTTTAAAAATTAAGAATCTAGTATATTAGGAAATGGAAATAGGTTTAAAGGAAAATATTTATTCTGGCAAAATAAATCAGTGTTAAAACTATTATACTAAGTAATTCTGAGATAAAATTAACGTGAAGTTCCTTTTCCCTTACTAGACTATGTGCTACTGTAAAAGAAGAGCAAGTTTAAAAAGACTAAAGCACCATTTGCCTCTTGGGAGAAATTATAGTTCCCTGCCAGGTAAAAACATTAGAGTCTTATCTACCTAAAATGCTTGCTTTTTAAAGAACACATCTTTAAATAGAACTTTTAACTGTTTAGTAAAGCTCTTTTGAATCCTTGTCTGTGTCTAATGGCATAGTCCATAGCAAGTTACACTGCTAATCCAAAGGCTGTACTTTCAGTGGTTCAAATCCACCAGTGGCTCTACAGGAGAGAAGTGTTGGGGGTGGGGGTCTCCTCTTGTTGTGACTTATGCTTCTGAAAACTAATACAGGGTCCTTAAGAGTCAGGGCTGACGGAAAGGCAGCGAGTGAATGAGTGTTGTCTTTATATCTCCAGGAGCAGGAGTGCTCTGTAGCTGCTGGAGGAAAGGAATACCACCAGTGTGGATTTCTGCTGAAGATAATCATTTTCGCAAGTGAATCTACTTGTAAAGTGCTCTTGCTGTAAATTTTCTGGCTTGGCCACCAGAGCTCCTACACATACAACACTGATTTTTATACAGTGCATTTGTTGTCATAACCTTTTGAATATTCTTATAAGTGTATAATTAAAAATATTTCTCCAGAGTAATCAAGATTAGGCAGATAGTTATTAAATAGGCTGAGGGGTTCACTGTTCTTAATTCTGAATGTCTTTCTTGTGTTTGAAGTAAGCAAGCTTATGGCAACAAGCGCAATAAAATAAGTTTAATACTGTAGCTTTTCTGAAAAGTACAATTCCTAGACGTTCACCATGTTTTACAACCGTCCCCACTATATGTTTACGTTTCTTATCAGCCCAAACAGAAACAGAATGTCCCTTAAGCAATAACTCCCCATTCCTGCTGCCTGTGACCTCTGATAATCCAGATAAACCCTTTTCTCTGTGCCTTTGCTTGGATAGAATCACATGCTGTTTGTCTTTTTTAATCTGCTTGAGTTGCTCAGCATGTTTTCACGATTCTTTCATGTGATAATGTCTATCAGATCTTTATTTTTCCATATCCTGGGTTCAATGTATATATGTTCCACTTTGTTATCCATTCTTTTCCTCATACTTGATTTGCTTCTACCTTTTGGCGGTTATGAATAGTACTGCAGTGAAATTGTTATTCAAGTATATATTTGAATGCTTGCTTTTCAGTCTTTTGGATATATTCCTAGGAATAGAATTCCTGGACAGATGATACTCATTGCTATCTTTATAATTTAAGAATGTTGTTGTTGTTGTTTACCATCAGCTACCGACCTATAGCTGACCCGGTGGGTTTTCAGAGGCAGTTAATCGCTTGGGAGGAGATTGCCCATCCTTCTGCTGAGCACTGGTGGCCTTGAACTGTGTACCTTTGGGATTGCAGCACAGCTTCTTGCCACTAGGTCACCAGAGCTCCCTAATTTAAGAATAGTAGAATTAAAATACTGATTGACTGTTAGCTTACAAGTAAACTTAATGTGCTGTTTTATTGGTGGTTACCTAAGTTTTTCGTTTTACCTACATAAATTTAACTATAGCAATACGTGTTACCTTTTAATCCTCAAAACCACTATGATTTTAAAATGTAATAAAATTCATAAATTATTGCAGAAATGTGAGATAAATGATTTAAATAGCAAGAAGTTATAAATTAATATGACTGTACTTTTGCTTTAATGTAACTTTTAAAATATACTATGAACATAAAATAAGTGACTGTGGCTTCTCTTACTCGAGAAACACAGTACCTAGCCTTTTAGAACAATTAGATATTTAAGCTCCTGATCTATGCAACCTCCTAAGCTGTTTTTTAAGGATAGTGTAACTCTGAGATTTCTAAAGAGAGACAGCTTCCAGAAGGTGCAGAAATGGATTATTAGGTTGGAGGATCATTAAGCTGTGGGAAAATGCACGTTTATTTTTTTGTGTGTTATTTTCCTGCCCTCTCCCAATCTGCCACAGTTTTTAATATTATTTTTATTGACATGAATTTTAATCCTACAATTCTGTAAATAAAAGTAGAAGATTTATAAAAGATTGAGATAAATCTGTGTTTATTAATATAGTCTAGAAACTGATACTTAATAAGTTTTAGTTTCTTTTTATCTGTGGAATTTTTCCTGTAGATTGAAGGAAAGTAAAGTATATAAATGTTTTGTTTTAGCTTGATTTTCCCTCTATTTAGAGTGATAATATTTGCTCAAAAATTTTTTTTTTCATTAAAGGAACATTTTTCAAACTTAACAATTCAATTTTAACCCTCTTTACATCAGGCATAATAGGAAATGAGATCAAATCCCTCCATTCCATCATCAACCCTCCTATTGCTAAGTAAGTCTATCATTGATATCTTCTTTGCCACAAACTGATTGAAAAATTACAAGTTTTTACTCATTTGTTTAATTCATTGTTATTAGAGAATATTATAATTTCTGTACTTTCTGCTCTAACTAGTTATAGTCGAAGTTGATATTTATCTTAAAGAATTTTCGGGGAGCTCTGGTGGCCTAGTGGTAAGGAGCTGCAACTACAATCCTAGAGGCGCACGGTTTAAATCCACCAGATGCTCTGCCGGGGAAGGAGGGACAATCTCCTCCTGTACCAGTCAGATCTGATTTGACAGTACACTAACACAAAAGATAAAAAAATTTAAACAAAAAAGATTTTTCACAGTTCAGTGTTAGTATGGCAACTATAATATGTTATATTATAGCTACAGTATAACCATAATAACAGTATACTCTAGTGTAACAGCAACCTACTTTTCATGTAAATAAAGGTATAATACCCTTAAGATGGTAGTTGTTATTTTTGTTATTTAGCCATTTTCTCTGAGTAGTTATGTAAGGCATAATCTAAGAATACTTTTCTTTTCCTAGATTTTTTTTTACATAAATTACAGAAATACTGAAACTTCTCTAGCGCTGATATTTTAGTTTATAAGTTTAGTCATGTTCACCTTATAACATATGATTTTTCCCTTTTAAACAGAATTCGCAATATTGGAATTATGGCTCATATTGATGCAGGCAAAACTACCACGACAGAAAGAATATTATACTATTCTGGATACACAAGATCACTAGGAGGTTAGAATGGAATCCTCTTCTTTCTAATCCTCATTAGTAAAAGCAGTGTTTCTTCTTTTTCACTGACCCTCCACCTTTCCAAGCATGATGTCCATTTCCAAGGAATAGCCTCTCCTAATAACATGCCCAAAATATTACCTGAGATGAAGCTTCATCATCTTTGCCTCCAAGGAGTACTCTGGCTTTATCTGCTCCAAAAAATATGTTTCCTTTTTTTGGCAGTCCACGGGATATTCAGCATGCTTCTTCAACACCACAGTCAAAGACATCAGTTCTTCTGACATCTGTATTCATTACCCAGCTCCCAGATGCACTGCTCAGCTCTTAGATGCATTGCAAGTGACTGAAAGACCATGGCCGTAATAAGGCGTACCTTAGTCCTCAAAGTGACATCATTGCTCTTGAGTAATTTGGAGAGGTCCCTGACTTGAGACTTTCCCACTGGTACTATATATACACACACACACACACACACACACATACATACATACATATATATATAAAATCTTTCTCCAGCCTCTTAACAATATGATGATGTTGTTATCATGGACTTTATTTTACAAACTACAAGGTGAGTCAAGTAGCTTGCTGCAGATCATAGACTAGTAAATGATGGAGTTGGAATTTGAATCTCGGTTGACCTGATGCTGAAAGCATTTGACAGTACCACTCTACCTGCTATAAAGGGGTCAAGAGTGAGGAAGACCAAATAAGGATAGGGTACAGAATATCAAGGTGGAAAGAAAAATGAAACAGAAGTATTGTATGGTACACCAAAATTTAAAATACGTAAACTTGAGCTTTTCATTTTAGTTGTTAAAGTAAAATTTTAGAGTTGGCAAAATTACTGATCTTTCTGAAAATGCTTTGTCAGAACACACATGGCAATAGCACTCAAGAAATCAACTGATATATTGCAATGGGCATATCTACTCCTAAGGATCTGTTTAAAGTGCTAAGGGCCAAAGAGACTTAATTGCACCTCACCCAAGCCATGATCTTTTCATTTGCTTCATTTGTATATGAAAGTTGGTCAGCAAAGAAGGAAATTTTGAGAAGAATTGGTGCCTTTGGATTGTGGTATTGATAAATAGTTTTTAATATCCATGGGCTTCCAAAAGAAGAAATGGATCTGTCTTGGAAAAAGTAAAGCCAGAGGGCTCTCTGGACATGTTACCAGGAGAACCTAGTTCCTAGAGAAGTATATCAACCTTGGTAGAGGGTCACAAAAAGGAGAGAGACCCTCAGCATATAGATTGACACAGTAACTATAAGAATGTGTTTAAGTACAATAGAGGTTGTAAGGATAGGGCAGCTTAGGGTTTTTGGTTTTGTTCCATTGTACATAAACAACAGAATCAAGATTTGTTTAGAGGATGATTAAGGATTTAGTTACGTTGTTGTTGATTGCCCTGAGTCTAGCACAACTCAGAGACCCTATGAACAAAAGCCCTGAAGCCTTCTTGTAACTATCCTAGTTTCTCAAAGTTCATGGAGTTTCCAGAGGCATGTTGTTTAGGAAGTGGATGCCACTCCTGCTTCCAAACCTGTCCTAAACTGGGAGCTCCACGAAACACTATCCATCATGGGTAACTGTTATGACATTTGACATCCGAGTGGCACAAGGTTCAACCTCACAGCAACCCCAAGTTACCTCAGTACAGCAAATTGACAGAAGAGTGCTGTACCACTTAGAAGAATGTTCTTTCAAAATACAGTAACAACTGACTTTTAATACAGAGGCCCAGGCTTTTAAAATCAAAGGCCCTCCCCAGGTCTTGTTTACTCTAAACAAGAAGCTTAAATTAAAAAAAAAACCCCAATATAATATATTGTTGTTGATTGTTGTAATATACCATTGAGTCGCCTGCAGGATAGGGAAGGGTTCAGAGCTGCTGTACATAGGGTCGCTATGGGTCGCAGATAGATACAGTATGCCACTAAATGAGACTAATGTGTCATCTTTTTCCTGCTTAGACGTTGATGATGGAGACACAGTGACAGATTTTATGGCTCAAGAGAGAGAAAGAGGAATTACTATTCAATCAGCTGCTGTTACATTTGATTGGAAAGGATATAGACTCAATCTAATTGATACACCAGGTATGGTGCTATTCTAGCATTGTATAAATATTCCATATTATTCAGGGGTTCCTTTTGGTCTGTTTGTTTTAGAAATTTTAAGAACAATGTTTGTCAACGATTTTTTATTTTTTTTTTAGGTCATGTGGATTTTACCTTGGAAGTTGAGCGCTGCCTGAGAGTATTGGATGGTGCAGTTGCTGTATTTGATGCTTCTGCTGGTGTGGAGGTAAACAAAATTGGCAAAGTAAAATGCAGATAAAATTAGCACAATTAATTTTTTTTTAAAAAAGGAACGATAGTAGATATAATTCATTTGTTAAGTTCATGTAAATTATATGTAATTAATAATATGGGGCTTAACTTTTGTAGTAAAAAGAGAAAAGTTTTCTTTTCTTTAGAAAGTGTGTGTGTGTATGCATAATTCATTCTGCTAAGTTAGTAGCTGACCAGTTATAAGAAGTGCTGAGTCAATATTGTCCCAAATGTTTGATTTGTTGTATAATTTCATGATTCCAACATCAACAATCCATTCTTTTTTTTTTTTTTTTTTTTTTAACCATTCTTTGTTCAGTTCCCTTGCTCCTCTATGTTCTTTGGGTTTGGTGGTTTGCTGGAAGGTCTCCCAGGAACTCAGACCCATCGGGGAATGACTCACATGACTGTAGGTATGCAGGCTGTTTTTGCAGAGATGGGTAAATGTTGTAGACTATCAGTAACAGTGTAGCTGGGAAGGCAGGCATCCCAAAAAGAAAGCCAGCACTGAGGTTTCATGAGTTTACATAACCCTCTCTCTAATAGAGTGGAGCTTATATCCCACCCTCTTCCTCTCTCCTTAATACAATAAATAGTCAGCATAAAATGAACAGTTAATCATTGTTATATACCATCCAGTCAGAACTAACTTACAGCTGACCCTCTGGCAGGTTTTCAGAGGCAGTTAACTATATGGGAGAACATTGCCCTTCTGTCTACCTCATATCAACTGGTAGGTTCAAACAGTGCTTTCAAGATTGAAGTGAAGCTTATCACTAGGCCACCAGAGTTCCCTAATCATTGGCTAGGAAAGACATTTTGAATGATAAACCTTTGAAACCACTGTATGTTAATCTCAAGTACTGTGAAAAAACTCGGAAACTTTTGAATAGCAAATTTACTTGCCATAATTTAATGGATTTTGACGAGTGATACAAGACTGTTAAGTCAGACAGAGGATTTTATTTCTTAAAATAAATATCAGTAAAAAAAAAAAGAAATAAATATCAGTAGCCAGCTTTTTTAAAAAAAAAAAAAGTTATTATTTTTATGTGTGTGTACCGTCAAATCAGACCTGACTGGTACATGAGGAGATTGCCGCTCCTTCTCCAGCAGAGCATCTGGTGGATTTGAACTGCATACCTCTGAGATTGCAATGCAGCTTCTTGCCTCTAGGCCACCAGAGCTCTCTCATACAGTGGATTTTAATGCAGAGCAAAACCTTGCACTTAGAGAATGCAGTGTGCAGATCCATGGTAATGGATGGCCAGTAAGCCTATTAGAATTCTTACACATTGTTGATGAAAGTATGAACTATCTAGAAATTCTCTTGGGCAATTTCTTATAAAGTTCAATATGTACTTAACCTTACTTGTCAACTCATAGTTGACCTTCCATTGGGTTTTCAGCGATGAGGAATAACTGTCTATGTTTCATTGAGGATGCAAAAGCATTTAACTGTGTGGATCACAACAAATTGTGGATAATCTTCAGAATAATGGGAACCCAGAACATTTAATTGTGCTCATGTGAAACCTATACTTGGAACAGGAAACAATAGTCAGAGCAGAGGAGGAAAACACTGCATGGTTCAGGATCAGGAAAGGTGTGCATCAGGGATGCAGCCTATCTCCAAACCTTTTCAATCTATATGCAGAACAGATCTTGTGAGAGTCTGAACTTTATGAGGAGGAATGTGGCATCATGACTGAAGGAAGACTCATTAACACCTGTGTTATGCAGATGACACAACCTTGTTTGCTGAAACTAAAGAGGACATGAGATGTTTGCTGCAAAAGGTCAAGGGACTGTAGTCTTTAGGTTGAAGCTCAACATCAAGAAGACAAAGATTCTCACCGCTGGGCCAATTGGCAGCTTCATGATGGCTGGAGAAGAGATTGAGATTATTGATAACTTCAGCTTGCTTGAGTCCACAATTAACACTCTTGGCACCATGAGTCAGGATGAATTACATTAACAAAGTCTGCTGTCAGGGACTTCTCCAAAGTACTAAAGAGCAACAGTGTCAGTCTGGAGACTCGGGTGCACCTGATCCAGGCCATGGTCTTCGCAGTTACTTGCTGTGCATCAGAGAGCTGGACAATAACTAAAGATGATAGAAGAATGATCGATGCCTTTGAGTTTTGGTGCTGGAGAAAGGTATTGAACATATTGTGGAATGCCAGGAGAACAACAGGTCTGTCCTGGAGAGGGTGAAACTAAGCTGCTTCCGGGAGGCAAGGATTTTGAAACTCTGGCTCACCTACTTGGGCATGTGGCCAGGAGGGACCGTTACTGGAGAGGGACATTAGGCATGGAAGGGTGGAGGGATAGTGCTAGGGAAGAAAATCCAGGATGAGATGGATTGACTCAGTGACTGGAGAAATGGAATTAGGTCTGCTGGAGACAGTGGGATTGGCTAAGCATAGAGAAGGTTTCAGAGCTAATGTTATAGGGTTGCTACGAGTTGCAGGTAACTCAAACACATAGCAACAACATAAATGACATGGAAAAAGATTGCCCATATTTCTTCTGCAAGCAGCTGGTGGGTTCTAACCACTTCCCTTTGTGTTAGCAGCTTAGCTCCCTAGCCAGAGGCCACCAAAGCTCCCTACACTTAACTTTGTTTTTGTTAGGTCCTGTCAAGTCAAATATGACTCATAGTCACCCTGTGAAAAACAGATCTGAACCCTGCCCTATCCTGTGCCATTCTCACCTTCTCTGACTTTATCCAAGAAGAATGAAAACATTTGTTCTCAAAAGACTTGTTCAGACTGTTTTTAGCAACTAAATTTTTTTTTTCCAACTAAATTCTTAAAGACTCCAAACTAGAAACAACTCAGGTAGTGGGCTGTCCGGTAGCAGTGAGTGGACATACTAGCCTGGTTTTAACTACTAAAAAGAAGGAATCTAATCTTATGTAATGTGGTTAAATGTAAAAAGCATTATGTCAAGCCAAAGAAGCCATGTTATTTATACCAAGTTCAGGAATAGATAGAATGAATCCATGGTGTTGGTTACACAAGTCAATGTATTTACCAAAACTCACTGAGCTGTATCTCATATGTGTGTATTTTATTGCGTATAAGTTCCCAGACCCTCCCCTCAAAAATAAAAGCAGACAAACTGACCTGTCTTATAAGTAGTGTAGTAGTAGGCTTTTTATGCTTTGCTTCAGGGCTATTGGACTCTATTACGCCATGATACTGTAAGACTCAAACTAAATATATTTAACATATGCAACAAATGAAATTAAAAGAAGTCAAGTAGAAGAAAAGCATATGAGAGTTGAAACTTATAAATACAGGTATTTGCTTTTTTAAAATAGTTCAAATCATACTTAATTTACATAAACATTCAGTAATTCAAAGTGGAAATAGATACTTTTTAAAATAATATAGATAATGCTTTTATGTTCAAATTATCTTATAGCAGAGTTTCTTAAATAGGGCAAAAAGTTCATCCTTTGCAGGTTAAAAAACTGACATTAAATGTTGTGTATTTTGTAACATAGACCAAGAAAGATTGTGAAATATACCAAAAAAACTCTCACTCAAACTTCATTGTGTTTAAGTTAGAACCAACCATAGCTGACCCCTGAGCAGGTTTCTGAGGCTGTAAATTGCATGAGAAAATAGTGCCCATCTTTCTTGAAGCCACCAGTGGATTCAAGCCTTCAGGTTAGCAGTCCCTGTGGACTATGCCACAAAAACTAGGTCTTCTAATTTTAATTAGTGCCTTCCAGGTATAATTTTTTTTTTTGTTAGATAACCTAGTTCATCCAGCCTGTTTCCAAAAAGTCTGAAACACATTTTTTATCACACTTCATCACTTTCTCACGAACTTAATTTATAGCATAGTGATTTTTGTTCAATATATTTATATATTTTTTTTCCCTTTATCTTAGGCCCAGACTCTCACAGTATGGCGGCAAGCTGATAAATACAGTGTTCCTCGAATCTGCTTTTTAAACAAGATGGACAAAACTGGAGCAAGGTATGTAATCTTTATCAAATGAGAATACTATTTGAACTTTTGTTGTTATCGTTGATTGCCTTTGTGACAATCACGACTCATAATGACCCTATAAACAAAAGGCCTGAAAGTTCATTAAGTTTCCAGAGGCATGTTCTTTAGGAAGTGGATGCCACTCCTGCTTCCAAAATTTGAACTTCTAATAAATTTTGAAACATCATGTGTACTATAGGGAATCAACCCCAGCATTAGTACAAAAATGCCTATCTCAGCACATTAAATATCATCATAATATACTAATGTCTAAGAGAAAAATGGAGTCCCTGGATGTAATGCAAATGGTTGTTATTATCTTTGACTACTAAGTGAAAGGTTAGAAGTTAGAATCCAGCCAGAGCCACTTTGGAAGAAGGGCCTGGGAATTTGTTTCCAAAAAATCAGACACAGGTGACCCAACTGAATACTATTGTACTCTGATACATATATGTCCCCGTAAATTGGAATAGGCTCAATGGCTTCTGATTTTTAGGATAAAAGAACAAAAAAATTAAGCCATCAAAATGATTCCTGGGGGAAAAGTGGGTAGCCTTGGATGATAGAAAATCTAGTCATGGAAGAAAGAATCCAGACTTAAAAATAACAAATCTTGCATTTGAATGTTATGTACAGTTCATTACCTATGAAGCTTTGATCAATTAATTTCATCTTAACCTCTGAGTTTAGCTTTGTGAAATGCAAAATAAAAACAGTGCCCTTATTATTATTTGAAATTGACATTAAAATTTTATTCAAGATATATTGTCCTGTAAAAAACTGTTAAATGCTAGGGGGAATAAGGAGTGTTAAAAAATTTAGAGAATATTATAAAGCCATGTTAAAGATCTTACAACATTTTGAAATATAATTATTTTGCCTTCTACAGTTTTAACTATGCAGTTGAAAGCATCAGAGAGAAGTTGAAGGCAAAGCCTTTACTTTTACAGGTAAATTGGTTGATTAGTACAACACATCTCTCACATCAATATTTTTTTGATTATGACACAAGTTTCTGATCTTTTTGGAAGAACTTGAGATATAAATGAAAATTGCTAGTAAATATTATTATAATAAAGATACTAAACATTTTTAGGGAAAGTATGTATTGAGAAATTTATCAACTATGCAGTTTTAATTGAGTGATCATTTAGTAATAGTAATTTATTTTTAATTGTAGTTACCAATTGGTGAAGCCAAAACTTTCAGAGGATTGGTAGATGTAGTAACAAAAGAAAAGCTACTTTGGAATCCTAATTCAGAGGATGGAAAAGACTTTGAAAGAATATCGCTCTTGGAATTGAGTGATCCTGAGTTGCTGAAGGAGACAACTGAAGCAAGAAATGCCTTAATTGAGCAAGTAAAAGAAATACTTTGAGTACATGTTGTGTTGCTTTATTTTACGCTTAATGGCCTGTAGAGAATGTGGTTAGGTGTGTCAAGTCAACACTGATTCATGGCCACCCTGTGTACAACAGCTCCGAACCCTGCTCTATCTTGAGCCAATTTCATTGTCTCTGATACACCTATCCCCATTAACCCAGTCACAGTCAGTCCGTCTCATCCAGGGTCTTCCTCTCTTACGCTTTTCCCTCCACTCTTCTAAGCATGATGTCCTTCTCCAAGGACTGGTCCCTCCATGCAATATGTCCAAAATATGTGAGACAGAACCTCATAATCCTTGCTTCCAGGGAGTGGCCTCCCAGGACAGACCTGTTTGTTCTTTTGACAGTCCATGGTATATTCAATACTCTTCTACAGCAACACAGCTCCAAGGCAATTTTACTTCTATCATCCTTAATCATTGTCCAGTTTTCTAATGCATAGCAAATAATTGCGAAGACTGCTTTTCTTCTTTTTAAACACACTGTTAAATGTATACTTTATTGAGATGACTTTTCAAGCTTGACCTCTCATAAATTCAGGTAACTCCTAATATATCATTAAGTGTTCCGATTTCGTACTCTTAAAAGAAAAATTAAAAAAAAAACAAAACAAAAAAAAAGGAAAATTCTTTTTCTTTATGTCAGTAGGATTTATGAAGAGTGTTTGGTCTGGGCTTATGCCTTGAGATATTTGGATAATGGTTTTTTCTTATATTTAAACTTAACAATTATGAAAATGCACACAAGTTACACAACTATGGCTTTCTTTGTAGGTGGCAGATTTGGATGATGAATTCGCTGAGTTGGTTTTAGGAGAATTTAGTGAAAATTTTGATTTACTGCCAGTTGAAAAGGTAAATTTGTTTTATTATGTTGATCAAGGAATTAATCTGATTTGATTTCTTTTTTCTTGGGTGTTCTCTTTCATTTAGCTTTGCATACTATTAGAAAAAACAACTTAAAAGAAAAAAATTAAAAATTAAGCTAATACTAATAAATGTAGCTAAATAGTGATAATGATTAAATATTTTCATGTGGAGCTATTTTTAAAAGTCAGATACTGATTCTTGCTTTATGTATATTAAATCATGTAGCCACTGTTTGAGATTTGGGGGATTCACAGTTTTTATGGAGCTTACTGCTGTGCTTATGTGGACTCTACATCTAATGACTGGGGAGACAGGAAATAAAATGTCTAATGTGTCAGCTAATAGTAAGTATAAAGAAAAAAGAAAGATGTCTAAACTGATAAAGAAGGAGCTTTGGTGATACACATAGTGAAGCACGTAGCTGCTAACCAAAGATGGAGTAGTTCAGACTCACCCAGTGACCCCTTGAAAGAACAAACTGGTCATCTGCTTCCATAAAGGTTACCGTCTAGGAAGTCCTATTGTTGACACATGGCAACATCATGAGATGAAAATCAGTTTGGTGATACCCAACCACAGCATGGGCAGAAGGAGTGATGGAGGTGTATGCAGGAGTGTGGTTTCAAATAGATGATTCATGAGGGGCCTCTTTCTGAGAGATTTTGTCAGAGACCAGCATGAAAAAAAAACTAACAAAACACCTCAGACTCACTGTTGTCAAATCAGTTCTGACTTCTCACTACTCTCCATTGAGTTCCTGAGGTTGTATGTTGTAATGGGAGCAAGCTGCCCATCTTTGTTCTGTAGAGCAGCTATTGGATTTGAACTACTGGAAACTCAAGGCCTTTAGTTTAATAAACTGTATAGCTCACTTGAGACTGCTGCCAGTGCTCCCAAGAGGCCAGCTTACTACGTACAAAATGCTTATATCTTTGCTTTATAGCTACAGACTGCAATACACAGAGTAACCACGGCTCAGACTGCAGTGCCCGTGCTTTGTGGAAGTGCCCTGAAAAACAAAGGAATACAGCCCTTGTTAGATGCCATTACTATGTACTTGCCTTCACCTGAAGAACGCAACTATGAGTTTCTGTAAGTATGCAAGCACATTAACATTCTAGGCCTTGAAAAATTCAAGAGTACTGTTAAATTACTGTTTTTAAATCATTAAAAATGGTGCCAAATACTATTGTATATAATGTATACATGTAAAGCTATTGCAGTTTTTATTTGAAAGTGATCTGATACCATCTGCTGTATTTGCCATATTTATAGGTGAAGCTAAGAATATATGGCTTTTCACTGTAAAATTATTGACACTACAATAATCTTAGTTAAAAAGAGAAAGAATGAAACTAGTTACTAGGATATGGAAGATTTTTGAGAAATATTTTGTAGATGTGCTTATTGTCTTATGTTGTTGTTAGGTGCTGTCAAGTCGAGTACAACTCATAGACCCTGTAAACTAAAGATCTGAACCCTGTCCTATCCTGTGCCATCTTCACATTTTCTGACACAGTAGAGCCCGTTGTGGCAATCACTGTGTCTATCCACCTGGTTGAGGGGCTTCCTTTCCTTCACCGGCTCTCTACCTTTCTCAGTATCTTGTCCCTCTCCGAGGAATAGCACCTCCTAGCAACCTGCCCAAATTATGTGAGGTGAAGTCCCATCATTCTTGCCCCCAAGGAGCTCTCTGGCTGCACACTCTCCAAGACATCTGTTTATTCTCTTGGCTGTCTGTGGGATGTTTAGTGCTCTTCTCCAACACAGCCCAAAGGTTTCAGTTCTTCTTTTGTCATCCTTATTCATTGTCCAGCTCTCAATGCATAGAAGTGATTGAAAAAACTGTGGCCTGAATCAGACACACTTATGCTTATACTCATTTATCTTTCATATTTTTATAAGCACAGTCTATTTTGTGGCTATAAACAAAGGTCATTGTTTTACTTCTGTTGTCATGAAGGTTTTATAAATAGTAATGAGCTCTCTAAAATCTGAGTGACTGTTAAACAGATTGGCAGAGACCATAATTCTGTTAAATAGGACACCAATAACTTTGCTTCATATCTCTATATTGGAGAGGCAACCTGTGGAAATAGTTATAATTTGGACTTTGTGCATTCTTTCTGTGCTTTCATTTATGAGCTGTGTGACTTTGCACAAGTTACTTAGCCTCTCATCCCCAAAACACAAAGAACAAATATCTTATTGGAATATTTAAGGATTGAATGACTTAATATCTATAAAGCTCTTGAAACAGTGCCTGGCATATCATGAGTTTTATGTACATACTTTGTTCAGTAATTAAAAACAAGAGGGAATAGGAGCAAGACTGAAGATACTCTACAATAGAGTATCTAACCTATGTTAGTCACAGATTTCTTTGAAAACTGGTAAAAAATGGAACTTCTCTTCAGAAAGATGCACATATGCATGAAACCTGACTATTTACAGAGAATTAAAATAACTTGAAACCTATAAAGAATACCAATTTCAGAACATCATTCTGTAAGTATGTTGATTGTAGAGGCAATTTCAGGTTTATAGTATAGGTTTATGTATTTTCGTAAGTAGACATTAATGGGAAGAAAGAGTGAGAGCAGTCATTGAAAAAAAACTATCTGTGCCAGTTTCTTAAGAAGTGGTATGATGTTCCCAGGTGTGTTTTTGAGGAATTACTTGGCAAATTATTTGCAATTGTATTTAATATTGGAGGAGAATCCTTATTTTCGGTTTTGAGGAACCATTTGTTAGATCTCCATTAGAGATTTAGCTTCAGTTTGCTCAGCTCCACAGTCAACACTCTTGGCACCAGCAACCAGGAAATAAAAAAACATATTGTGATGGGAAAGTCTGCTGTTAGGGACCTCTCTAAAGTACTCAAGAGCAACGGTGTGTCTCTGGAGACTAAGGTGTGCCTGATACAGGCCATGGTCTTTGCAATCACTTGTTATGCATCAGAGAGTTGGACAATGACTAGGGAGGATAGAAGGAGAATTGATGCCTTTGAGCTGTGGTGCTGAAGAAGAGTATTGAATGTAGCATGGACTGCCAAGAAAACAAACAGATTCATCCTGGAGAGGGTTAAACCAGGCTACTCCTTGGAGGCAAGGATTCTGGGGCTTCGTCTGACATACTTTGGACATGCTGTAAGGAGGGACAGGTCCTTGGAGAAGGACATCATGCTTGGGAGGGTAGAGGGACAGCACAAGAGAGAAAGACCCTCTGTGAGGTGGATTGATTAATCGGGATGAGTGTGTCAGAGGCAGTGTGATTGGCACAGGATAGAGCAGGGTTTAGGGCTGTTGTACATAGGGTCACTATGAGTCGCAAGCGTCTCGACGGCACATAACAACAACAGAAGACGACACATCATTTAATGGGCTGAATAACTCTACTTGAAAATCCAAGCAATCTTTATAGGATTTCAAAGTAAGTTTCTGCAGTGGTTCTGAGCTGTTCTTTATAGATGTTTAAGTATTGTGTTTTAAAGGTCTTTCTGGAATGTCTTCTTTATTTTGTAGGCAGTGGTATAAGGATGACTTATGTGCACTGGCATTTAAAGTTCTTCATGACAAGCAGCGAGGACCATTGGTGTTTATGCGTATTTACTCAGGCACAATGAAACCTCAGTTAGCTGTCCATAACATTAATGGAAACTGCACGTAAGTAGAGGCTTAGGTCCTTTTCTAAAAATACTTTACTTCTTTAAAACCTTTACTACTACTACTAATAACATAAAACTAATAATAAACCTGGCTTTTTAGGGAGAGAATAAGTCGTCTGCTTTTGCCGTTTGCTGACCAACATGTTGAAATTCCATCACTGACTGCTGGCAATATTGCCTTGACTGTTGGGCTTAAAAATGTAAGTGATCTGTGATTCTCTAAGAAATAGTAACTTAAATGTGTAATTGAAAAAGAAATATTTTGTAATATTTATAGTTGAAAAGTAGGTCTTTTGTTCATAAGGAATCCAAATGGTCATAATGAATATTGATATTTTTATCAATATAATTAAATCTTTTCTATATAATATAAAGAAAGTCAAATTAGAAAAAATTACAAATAGTATGAATTGCATTCATATTTGGATTCATAGTCAGCATGGAGTACAAATAGAAGGAAGATAATGTGCTATTTATAAAAATTTAACTGCCATTGAGTCAAATTCATAGTCTCTAAAAGTATGAATCATAACAGGAGGAGATTGCCCATCTTTCTTCATGGTTCAGTTAGTGGATTTAAACCACCAGAAATGTACAAGCTTTTGGTTAACAGTACAACGTACTGTAGACAAAATTACCAGATCAACTATCCTATTTATAGATAAACATGTGGTTTCATGGAGATGGTACAGGACTGGGCTACGGTTCATTCAATTATGCATAATTAGAGCATAATGTGAGTTAGAGCTTTCTCACTAAACCAAAGTCCACCAAGTCATCAAGTCAACACTTATTCCTAGTGACCCTGTAGGACAAAATAGAAGTGCCTCAACATCCCATAGGATTTCTGAGGCTGTAAATATTTACAGAAGCAGATTGCCGTATCTTTCTTCTTTAGAGTAGATGGTAGCTTCAGACCATTGACTTTTCCAGTCCTTGGAGAAAGATATCATTTAGTTAAAAAAAGGAAGCAGGAATATATGGTTAAGTATTATTTTCATGACAAGAGTCCAGAATAAGAGCTGCATAGTAGAGTGGACTTGGGGGAGGGGACTGTATAACAAGGGAAGAATTTTTTTCCAAAAAGAAAAGTGAACTGGGGAAGAAGGGGTACAAAGAGGAAAATGTGCAAAAATAAATGAATGGAAATCCCAAGTTTTCTATAAACTTTCATTAAAATCTCAGTAAAGAAAAAATTTTTTTAAAAAAGGAAGTCCCTCAGAAAGATGGATTGACAGTAACCCTAACAATGGATTAAAGCATGATAAGGATTTTGAGAATGGCACAAGTAGGGCAACAATGCTTTCTGTTGTACATAAAGTTGTTATAGGTTGTTTTAGACTCAGAAAGGGCCAGAGAGTAAGAATAACACTGCCCTAGAGCAGAAACAGATTAAGAGCTCATAGCCCTTAAAACAATGAAAGAATCTTTTCTTTTACTTTTCCATAATTTTTGGACTCATGTACTTATAACTTGTTAGTCAAATTTGTGTCTTCTAGGTTGCAACACCCCCATGATACGTCTTCAAGGATATGAACATGTACGGCCAAGCACAATCAATAAGATTGCATCTAAATTCCAAAATCAATCTCCATAATAGTCTATGTGTTTCCTACTGCCAAAGGGGCCCTTTAGAGTAGTGAGAGAAGATCTTCACCCTGAAACCCACAGCGTCCCTTTTCAGCAGGAAGTAGCTAAGAGAATACACCATCCCCTTTTCCTTATGACTCAGGGTGAAGTCTCTCTCAGGGAGGAGTGATAGGGAATGGCAAAGGACACACTGACAAAGAAGATTAATCAGAACTGGCTTTGACAAGCACTGTGGCATTTGGACAAGAACAAACTGGGAGGAGGGTAGAGAGAATAGTGCAACAATGAATGAATGGAAACCCAAAATCTCTGTAAATGTTTATGAAAATTAATAAAATATAATTATAGAAAAAAAAAAAAGAGCTCATAGCCCTGCCCCATGGTGCCTATAGAGCCCCACCAAGACCAAGAGATTATTTTATTTGTTGTGTGAGTGGGAGAGGCAAAGAGTATGGCAATATCACCCAAAATAAGTCCAGGGTTTAACCAGCAGTTCCAAGGCACAACTCCTCAGTTAGTCCAGGCTCCTGTTTCAGTTCAGCAAGCAGCTTTTCCTTCCATCCTCAAAAGCAAGAACAGCAAAATCCAGCTGTGGGCAGCACAAATGCAAGAAGCCTCAGGTCACACCTTGCTACTGTTAGTCCATAGCAATGCTGGTCTTTTGCCACCAGGGTCTCACTCTCACCAGGGTTTTGCCACCACAAGCCTTGCTTACCTCCAACTCTTGCCTTAAGTCTTTCTCTCCTCAAATCTTGCTGCTCAGTTTGGAAAACACTCTTCCACTTACTCTAGTCCAACAGCTGATGCTGATTTGCAGGACCAGTAGCTGGAGACCAGAGGTGGCTAACCAGTGGCTAAAAAAGGCCAACCTTTATGTTATCACCACAATGACTTTTTCCAGGACTTCATGACCACAGCATTTGAGATGAAGTCTCACATCCTTGCCTCTAAGAAGCACTTTGGCGGCACTTCTTCCAACAGAGATTTGTTTGTGTGTCTTTTTTTTTTTCTTTTAATTTAGGGAGGGATATTTGTTTAACTGAATGAATTTTGGATGTGTGTATATAGTATGGCTTTTTTCTTTAGACTTTTATCACAGCATTATTTTGGCTAGAATTCATACTTTAGAGGTTAAGTTAGGTTTACTTACGAAAAGCTATAAAGAACTTTGTGGATTTAACTTTCTTTTGTTCTGCTGAAAGCAAAGTGCTCCAGGAGAATTCTTGTTTGGTGATTGTTGATGGAGGCTGACTGCTTGCCGACAGTTTCTTTTCTTCAAGCCATCTTGTTTGCTTTCAGACTGCAACTGGAGATACCCTTGTGGCATCCAAGTCCTCTGCATTAGCTGCAGCTCATCGAGCCAAAAGGGAGGGGGATAAGAAACACAGACGAAGTAATGGAGCAGAGAGACTTTTATTGGCTGGTGTAGACATTCCAGAGCCCGTTTTCTTCTGCACCATAGAACCCCCTTCAATGGCTAAGCAACCAGGTATAAATAGCATTGGTGTAAAAATTATTTTTTTTAATAATTTTACAATTTATATAACCAAGTTATAATATTCTCTTAAAAGATTTCTGGAGCATTTGGGTTCATTTTTGCCTGAATTTATTGTTAAGCATTTTTTATGGTTGGTTTGTTTGTTTTTATTCAAATTGCTTTAATTTTTTTTTTATTTTTTTTTTTACTGTATAAGCTTTTATTCTTTTATTAAATCTTGACCATTTTTATCGTGTAATCGCCCTCTTGGAATCGAAGTAATTGTTCTCAGGGCCATCCTCCCATTATAATAGATTAGATAGTAACTGATTGTGAACCAATTTAGTTCTTCACCATCAAAATACAATTTTATTTTAACTCAGCTTTTAAAATTCATCTGAGATACTGCTATAATTTGATTACTGACCTTTTGAGTATTACATGCTTTATTCTTTAACATTCTCTCATTATTTTTTTCTTTGCTTAAGAATATTGAGAGGGAGTGACTGAAAAGGGTAACTCATTAATTCATTGCCCATTTCTTTTGAGCTGTACTTTGTGGAACTTTTTTATTCTTAATAAAAAAAATTGAAAGTATATTTAATAATTCTAGTAAAGAATCACTTTACTTTAGCTGACATATGGAATGTAAGTAATATATTCCTAGTTCCTCTATGGTTGTATTTTTAACTCCCTTTTACCATTTGCTCATTATTACCTATGTTTCTGAAGGGTTTTTGGATTTATGTTAGTTCCTGGAGTGACCTTTGCAGAACATAATCAGATAATGTGACTGTGGTGTTTTAGCCCTTCATGTAATTTCCCCACATGACTGCAGGCCCTTAACAGGATATGATTCCTCCTGCCTACTCATGCTAATCTTGCCCTTGTCCTCCAGTCTCTAGACACATTGTTGTTGTTATGTGCCGCCGAGTCACTTGCGACTCCTAGCGACCCTGTGTACAACAGCCCTAATCTCTGCTCTGTCCTGTGCCAATCACACTGTCTCTGACATTCCCGTCCCGATTATCCCAGTCACTGAATCAATCCACCTCATAGAGGGCCTTCCCCTCCTGCGCTATCCCTCCACCCTCCCAAGCATGGTGTCCTTCTCCAAGGACCGATCTCTCCTCACAACATGTCCAAAGTATGTTAGACGGAGTCTCAGAATCCTTGTCTCCACGGAGCCACCCGGTTTAACCCTTTCCAGGATGAATATGTTTGTTTTCCTAGCAGCCCATGGTACTCTCAATACTCTTCTCCAGCACCACAGCTCAAAGGCATCAATTCTCCTTCTGTCCTCCCTAGTCATTGTCCAACTCTGATGCATAACAAGTGATTGCAAAGACCATGGCCTGTATCAGATGCACCTTAGTCTCCAGAGAGACACCATTGCTCTTCAGTACCCTGGAGAGGTCCCTAATAGCAGACTTTCCCATGGTAATGCGCCTTTTAATTTCCTGGCTGCTGGTGCCAAGACTGTTGACTGTGGAGCCAAGCAAACTACAGCTGTGACAATCTCAATCTCTTCACCATCCATCCTGATGCTGCCAATTGTTCCAGTGGTGAGAATCTTTGTCTTCTTGACATTGAGCCTCAGTCCATATTGTAGGCTGCAGTCCTTGACACTCTGCAGCAGGTGCTTCAGGTCCTCTTCAGTTTCAGCAAGCAGGGTTGTGTCATCCGCATAATGCAGATTGTTGATAAATCGTCCACCAATCCTGACCCCACATTTCTACTCATAGAGCCCAGCCTCCCGGATAATCTGTTCTGCATATAGGTTGAAAAGGTATGGAGATAGGATGCATCCCTGGCGTACACCCTTCCCAATTTTGAACCATGCAGTGTTCCCTTGCTCTGTTCTGACGACTGCCTCCTGGTCCAAGTATAGGTTTCGCATTAGAACACATTTCTCCAACATAGACTGTTCCTTATACAGCTGCTCCCTGTGCCTGGAGAGCTTTTCTTCAGAATTTTGTTTGCAGATTTCTTTTTTTGTTGTGTATGTCTTTACTTAAATCATTCTAAAGATTACTCCATATTAAGTAACCCGATCACTGTCATATCATCTTGCTTTATTCTCTACAGAGCATTTCTAGGTGTTTGACATTTCCTCTTTGAATATTTGTTCTTCTGTTTGCCACTAGAATTTAGGCAAATTTGTCTAGCTTTGTCACAATATTCCCAGCACTTAGGGCATAGAATAAAAAGAGCTCTCAGATAAATTGCTTAATTAAAGAATGGTTCAATAAGTTGTCTAGAAAATGACATCTAAAGGTAAGAAGAATTGTTTGTCTCATAGATTTGGATCATGCACTGAAGTGCCTTCAGCGTGAAGATCCCAGTCTGAAAGTGAAGCTGGATCCTGACTCTGGACAAGTAGGCTTCTAATTACTTAATTTCATAAGCTTTTCAGCTGTGTGTTTTTGTGTATGTGTGTTTGTCTCCACACATCTCTTAGTCTGAGTTCCTTAGAAGAACAAAACCAGTGAAATATTAGAGGTACACATGCACACCCCCAACCTCCACTTCTACCAAGTTGCCTTCAAATCAAGGTGATTCTTTATTGGGCTTCCAAGGCAGTATTTTTTTTTTTTTAATTGCTGTTTTTTTAATTGATATTTTGGTGAAAGTTTATAGAAGACTTGAATTTCCATTCATTCATTGTTGCACAATTTCCTCGCCTCCCCTCTGCCCCCCAGTTCACTTTACTGTGCAGCTCCCATTCTGGACTACTGTCATGCAGATAATACCTAATCATATATTTCTTTCAGACAGTTTTTTCCTTCATCTATTTCAATATAGTGTTCATTATTTATCGCCTCTTTTCTTAGTTTCCCCCCAAACCCCATGTCAGTCCTGTTTTGTAACAGAGGCATTATTCAGTATTTCTCCTTTTGTGAATGGGATATATCACCGAGCATAATCTCCTCCAGGGTCACTCATTTTGTATAACATTTTATGAGTTCCTTGTTTTTCAGTGCTGTAATATTCCATTGTGTGAATATACCACAGCCTCGCTGTCCATTCATTTGCTGATGGGCACTTGGGTGGCTTTCATCTCTTTGCTATTGTGAACAATGCCACAAGAAACATGGGTGTTCATATATCTGTTTGGGTGGCAGTTCTAGTTTCTTTAGTGTATATTCCCAGGAGTAGAAATACTGGGTCAAATGGTATTTCTCTTCGTAACTTTTTGAGAAAGCGCCGTACTGTCTTCCAGAGTGGTTCCACAATTTTACACTCCCACCAGCAGTGAGTAAGGGCTCTAGTTTCTCCACACCCTCGCTGGCATTTGTTGTTTGCTGCTTTGTTGAACTTTGCTTTTGTTACTGGTGTGAGATGATACCTTATAGTTGTTTTGATTTGCATCTCTCTTAGATCTAGGCATTTTGAACATTTCTTCATGAGTTTGTTTGCCATTTGAAAGTCTCCTTTGGTGAAGTGTCTGTTCATATCCTGTGCCTATATTGCAATTGAGTTGTTTACCTTTTATCTTGTTGAGGTGCTGATAAATTCTGCATATAAGACCCTTATCAGACATGTCATTACCAAATATTTTTTTTCTAGTCTGTGGCTTTCCTTGTCACACTGTTGGAAACCAAGGCAGTAAATCTTAATAACAATAGACTACCTCATCTTTTTTCTCAGAGCGTCTGTGGAATTTGGACTGCTGGCTCTTCAATAAATAGCCCAGCACAACTCTTTATGTAACCAGTGCTCCTATAAACATATACAAAATCAAAAAGCCACTGCTATGAAATGTATTCCAACTCATGACTCTCCATTGAGTTTCCTATGCTGTTAATCTTTTTGAGATTTCCCACTTAATGGCAATGAGGGGTTTGTTTTTCTCATTGGAATTGCTGGTGGATTTGACTATCTATCTTTTAACAACAACTCAACATTGAACTCATCAGACTACTAAGGATCCTGTAAATAAGGAATGGCTCACACAGTTGTACAGTCTGGCAAGTCCTAAATTTGTGGGTCAAGTATGAGTGTGGAGATGCCTCCTGACTCACAGGTTGCAGGGGCCACAGAACCCAAAATCTGCAGGCCAAATGGTAGGCTTGAGAGTCAAAGGTCAGAGGGTGACAAGGCAGATACAGGATCAAGAATAAGGAACCATTGTTGGAGCATCACATTGGATTCAGGCCACATACTTGATAAAACAACTTTTTTAATTGATTGGCTGCATACATTAGATCTGGTCGCACAGTGAGTTGTGTGTTCCCCCAAAGTCAGGTCTCTGGCAATTCCAGTCTACCAGCAGCCCCTCTTAGGAGAGAACTGGACAATCTCCTGTGCAATTTACAGTCTTGGAAACTCAGGAAAGTGTGAGCTATGAGTCATTTCCAACTAGATGGCAGTGAGGAGTTTGAGATTTTTTTTTTTTAAGTTTTAAAAATGGAAATTTTATTGTTAGAACATGTAAGCTAGTTTAGTTAATTTGAAAAGTATGCAATATACTATTTTCCTAAAATGTCAGACAGATGATGTAATATAATTTCATTTTTCCTAAAGGCTACAACAGTTGATGTTTTGTACCACTGAGTTAGAACTGACCCAAAGCAGAACCTCCAGTGAGTTTTCAGAGGCAGTAAATCCCACAGGACGAGATTGCCCATCCTTCTCCTGTGGAGCAGCTAGTGGATTCAAATTATGTCCTTGGTTTGGCAGTGCAGTTCCTTACTGTTTAGTCACCAGAGATATTGTAGTAAAAGGAACTTTTTCAAGCGTAAATAATGTAAATTGTGCAAAGTAAATAATAAAAAGCCTTCTACTGATAGTTCCTGAAAGATAACTGCTATGAAAACTTAGTGCATCTCTCTTCCAAACTTCAAAAATACTTACATATGGGGTGTGTGTGAATATCTATTAAATAATTTTGTTTGTATTACTCTTTAGCTTAGTTTTTCCCAAAAAAAATTTTTAATTTTTAAATGATACATTGAAGTATATAGCAGCTATACCAAGTAATTTCCTTTCAGTATCCAATCTCAAACTCACTGCCATAGAATTATTCTGACCTATAACAACCCTCTGTCAGATTTCCTAAGACTGTAAGTCACAGTGGGAGGAAGGCTGCCATGTTTTTTCCTTGAAGTCATAGGTTTTTTTGAACCACCAGAGATGCATAAGTTTTGTGTTAGCAGTGCAACTCCCTAGGAACTGCATCACCAGAACTCTGTCAATTTTAGTTTAACTAGATTATAACAATGTTCTAATCAGAAAAGCAAAAAACACTATTTAGATGTAAGAGAAAAAAATTGGATCCCATTTGTAATTAATAAAAAGTAACATGAATATATATTAGTATCATATTCATATAATGTTTTATCATAAATGTAACTTTCCTTTGATCTTTGATTTCTTTCTTTAACTAGACTATCCTCTGTGGTATGGGGGAGTTACACATTGAGATCATTCATGATCGAATCAAGAGGGAATATGGACTTGAGACCTATCTAGGGCCTCTCCAGGTGGCTTACCGAGAGACCATCCTAAACACAGTTCATGCCACAGGTAAAAAAGAAAAAAAATGCTTGAATGTATTTACCTGTCTTTCTCATATAATTTTTTTAAAAAATCTGTCTATGGTCACTAGTGTCTTCCATCAGGAAGCTTTGGTGGCCTAATGGTAAGGAGTGGCACTGATAGCAAAGGCACATGGTTCAAATCCACTAGCTGCTCCAAAGGAGAAAGATGGGTAGTCTCCACTCATGTGATTTATTGCCTCTGAAAGCTCACTAGAGAGAAAGATATGAGTCGGTTCCAATTCAACAGCACAGAATAACGTTAAGTGTTTTTCATCAGACTATCTTGTATTTTTTATTTTTTAGGATTTTGTGTTTTAGACATTGAAAGCCCTATTTTTTTTACCATCTCAGTATCAACAGGGTGGGCCATTTATCCTATCAATAGGCTTTTCAGTGGTCTTGTAGTGGAAAAACCTCTGAAGTACATGGCTTATCCAGTCCTCACAATTAAAACAAGCAGATAATTTGAAGTGTTTGAATTTTTATTTAGTGGGAAATGTGATTATTCTCGTTAATTACTCTAGTTAATAATATAGTAATTCATTTCTCCTTTTTCAGTTTATCATACTGTGTTAGCGAGAAGGATAATAAAACTTCAAAGCTGCACTTAAGGCTCTGGCAAAAAAATAAGGTAACATGACTGATTGAATACCAGTTGAGGTATTTCAACAAACAGATGCAAACCTGGACATTCTAGCTTGTCTTTGCCAAGACATTAGACAGATTTTTGGCCAGCCAGCTGGAAGAGATTAATATTTGTGCCCATTTAAAAAAAAGCAGAAATTATCTAACGGTTTCATTAATATGACATGCAAGTAAAGTCATGCTGAAGATTATTCAGAAATAGCTGGAATACAGTAACGAGGAACTACCAGAAATCCAAGCTGGACTCAGAAGAAGCCATACAAGGAGGGATATCATAGCTGTTGTCTTAGCTCAAAGCAGAAAATACCAAAAAGATATTTTCTTATATTTTATTGGCTACGCAAAGGCATTTAACTATTTGGATCTTAATAGGTTATGATTAACAACACTAAGAGGAATGAGAATTCCAGAACGTTTAATTGTACATGTTTGGAACCTGTACAAAGACTCAGAAGCTATTGTTTGAATGGAACAAGAGAATACTTGCATGATTTAATATCTGAAAAGATGTAGAAAGAGTAAGGGCCATGTTGTTGTTGTGGTTGTTATGTGCCGTCGAGTCGTTTGCGACTCATACTGACCCTATGCACAACAGCCCTAAACCCT